TCGGTGTCAGAACGGTGACGTTGTCATCATCTTCATCACTGGCCCTGTCTTCTCTCAAGCTGCCTTCAAGGCTCTCCATAATAGAATGCCATCGTGACGAGGTGTGCCCCTTTCCTAAAAGCGACGACTCTAATAGGTTGAATTATCTAAAATCATTAAACACATATTCTCGTACGTCACTTTTGATCCACTTATCTACCTCCTCATAATCCCACTTAAATGCCTATTTGCTAATCAACCATGAAGAAACACACACAGAATATATATACTTCTCTCGTCTTATTTATAATTCATTTCTAACACATTTCACAAAAACTAAGAAAAACCTTAAACTTTATTAATTCTCATTTAAAATTCAATAACTTTCTAATTTTATTCCTATTTAATATACATTATACCTCATATAAACAAAACCAACACAATAATAAATGAAGGATAAAATTGTACATCTATACAAAAAAATTTTCTCAGTACTCTGTAAATAGGATTAAAAAATATCTTATCTCTTTACCCTGTAAATAGGACCAGAGGAGTATTATATAGATATATATTTAGTTGTCAGTGAGAAAGCCTACGTGCTTAATTACTTAATGATTTAGCTTATGGCATTTAAAAAGTTAGGTGAGAGAGCTGCCAGCAAAGGCCGAGGTGATTGCGTGGTCAGAGAAAACAGGAATTGAGATGTTTAGGTACGGAGATCACATCATGGGAATTCAAGGCCACCCTGAGTACACCAAAGACATTCTTATTCACCTCATCGATCGACTCATCCAACGCAATTTTATCATGGTATGTGAAATGGTGGGATTTGGGGCGTCCAGTGTTCCTTCTCAACTATCCCTTAATTTGTCTTCACTTTCTAAATTTTTTTTTTGGTTTCCTTTAACCATTAGGTTATATATAAAATGGAAAAAGTGATATTTTGATATCTTTTAAGCAAAAAAAAAAATTGCAGTTTTGTATTTTTTTTAATGATTTCTCAAAGAAAAAAATAAAATTTAAAACTGTATTATTTTTTTTGTTTGCAAGTTATTAAAATGTCATTCATTTCATTTTATATAGAATCTGATGATTAAAAAAGACAAGAAAAAACATATCACCAAAAAAGAAAAACAAAAGAAACAAGAAAAAAAACATTTGAGAAGTGGTAGAAAATTAAGCGGGACAGATGGGGTAGTTTATAACATGCCAAAATGGTGTCTATGTAGCCGAGCTCACTTAGTGAACAGGGCTTATTATTGTTGTGTGTGTGTGGGTGCGTGTACCTATGAATCTCTTCGTTCTCTTCTCTCTATCTGTAATCTTCTGGTATTTCAGGTAGAAACTTGTGTTATGTGCACTAATAATAACTCTCACCCATTGTCGGTGTTTGATTTGTGACAGTCACAGAAAGCTTATGCAGCTGAGGCGGCGGCGAATCTGGCTTTGAGGGAGCCGGATAAGGAGGCATGGAGAAGACTCTGCATCAACTTTCTCAAGGGTAGATTATGACAATGCAGTGAGAGAGAGAGAGAGAGGTTTTGTATTGAAAGAAGTTGGTTTAGGAAGAAAAGAGAGTGGAGGAATAAGAAAGCAATGGGGAAAGAAGAGGGTTATGTGTAAGGGTTGACTCCATTTTCCTTCTCATCATTAATCAGTTAAATTCCACTGATAGGAGAAAAGTATGCCTAGTCTATTGATTTTTTTTTTCAGATGGCGATAGAATGCACTAATTTTAGAAATATGCAAAAATAATTACGAGGAAAAGAAAAATTTTCAATTAGGTAGATGCTTAAATCTCCATTAAAGGAGCACTGAGAAACACGCCTTCTTTAAAAAAAAAAAGAAAGAATTTCTTGTGTGAATTCTTTGTCCGGCTGAGTACTATAGAGGCCAACAAGAGAAATTAGTCAAGGGAAAAAGGAAATAAAGGGTAACAAATTATATAAATATAAAGAAAACAAAAGTCATATTGATTTTAGTGTTTACTATGATTTTTTTTATAAAATAAATTAGCTACTTGAGGACTTGAGGTCAAGGAATCACACCTTCCATATTAAAATAAAATATATCATTTTGTTAAACTGTGTTAAAATTACATGGATACTTTCTTATTTTAAAAATATATCAATGTCTGAAATAAAAAAGTTGTTAAAATTAATTCTTTTTACTAAAATATAATATATATTAATTTAAATTCATATTTATATTATAAAAAAAGAAAATAATATTTTTATTTTTATAATTATATAGTTGGGGAACAAAAGGCTTCAACCAGGGCATAATTCTTGTCATTGCTTAATTTCCAATAAGATGTAGGAGGAAGGCAAGTTTTCCTTGCCTTTTGATTTGTAATTCAAAGTTTGGTACCTAAAGAACTTCATATACTTGATATTTTTTAAATCAAGTAATATTTGGTTTGATTCAAGCATTTTAAAATCAGGGATAACATCCGAAGATGATTTCTCATATCTATACAATTCAAAGACTTGCTCTTGTGATTACGTTTCACTTTGTATTATGCATGATAAAAGATTTATGTCTATAATTATATTCAATAATGTATTCATTTTATTTTTTGTTGCAGAATGCAAATGATGAAGATGATAAGAAAAAAATCAAGGATTAATCTCATTTCTAATTCCATATTTGATTTAAATATTACTATTTTTGAATGATTGATGAATGATAGATTCAAATGACATGATTATGATTGTTATCATATTTGTGAAAATTTGATTTATAATATCCACATGTGGTATGGATGAACATGAACATGTTGTCTTTGTTGAATGTTGCTTATGATAAAATGTTAAGGTGTAATTTTGCCATCAAATTTTTTTATGTAGTAGTTGCGAGTGTTCAAAATTTTTTTGGATCAATATTACTTCAAAAATAATAAAAGATGAGTAATATCGCTTCTGGATATTAAAAATTAATTTTTAACCAATCAATTTTAACTTTTTTAACGGTTAAGGTGACTTTACTCTTTTCTTAATACTTTCAAAATAATATTAATCCAAAAAATCTTCCAATACTTATATTTTCTACACGAAAACTTTTGGAGTTAAATTGAACTTAAACGTCATGATAAAATAATGTAAAGTTATGCAGGGAGAATTACGATGAGGTTCTAAAAAAAAACACCAACAAGACAAGTGAGCAGTTATTATTTACTATCTAAGAAATTGTTATTACTGGCTTTTTTATTGTTGAAAGACTTCTTAATAATTATGTTCTTTACTTGGAACTTCAAGTTCTCCTACTAATGTAATATATATATATATATATATAATATTTATATAGGTTTAAAGGTTATATGATTTGTATGCATTATATTTAGGTTTTAAAAATTACTGAATATTTTTCACGGGTAAAAACGAAACAAGTAATGTTAGATTAATAGGTTGGCCTTTAATCCTACTTCTACCAAACAAATTGAATGTTATTAACCTTTCTTGATGTTGTCATTTGATTTCTTTAATCTATTTTGGGCATTTGTCTTTTCTCGGATGTGCAATTACTTGAACATTTTTCTCATTTTCTTAATTTTATATATCTTCTTTATTAATAGAAAGCAGTATTGGCTGGGGGATATGGAAAGCAAGATGTAGACAAGTTTATGAGAAAATTGAAGTGGATGCCTGAAGTTGGGTAGCAGTGGCTATGACATTAGTGAGAGACTTTATGGATGCTGCAACAAGTGTTGTCTGTTGCAGGTCAGGTCCGATAGTTCTTGTTTTGAAGATTGATTCCCCTGAAATGGTGAGGCCTAAAAGCTTACTCAAAGGTATGTGCCAACATATTAAAGAACATTTATGTTGTAACTAAAATGACATTGTAATACTAACGGGGGTTGGGTCTAACAGAAAGAACTAGTCTCTTACAATGTAACGAACCAAGATTCAAATTCTTACTGGGAGAGATGTCTACATTTAGTACCCGACAGTGCCTCGAATAGAATTGTCTCCAATAAAAGGATAACTATCCTCTAGCCAAAAAAAAAATGATATTGTAATCTAATGTCATAAAAACTCTAATAAATAAGAGATTGTGGACCCAATCACACTGGTGACCATCAAGCCGTTAGTGGCTACAGCAATGCAGAGGCGAATGCATAGAAAATGCCCATGTTTTTGTTAAGAGCTAACAGGAGGAAGTGTGAAATTATGAAGACGATGCTGATGAATAAACTTTGATGAGACCTGCCTCTCTCCTAATGTTAAAAAAATCTCGCAGAAGATGTACAAGTGTGTTTGTGGGTGAACGGCAAGTAGCAGACATGCAGAATATGAAGGGCAATATTTAGGCCATTGTTAAGGATGGTGGTTAGAAACATTCCGTGCTCTCTCAGCGTATTACCAAGTTCTCATGTTTACACCTAATTAGGGGGAAAGGCACAAAATTCCCTGGAGATATTGGCCCTGCATGTATGGCAATTAAGAATGGAGATGGCGGCTTACTTGGGCTACAGTGGCTGCACCAGAAGGAAACAGAACGTAAGCTAGCTCATCCTGATACACTTCCCAAGACCTGTGCAACGTGCAAGTGAAGCTTGAATGTCTATGGAGGAAAAAGTGGGAGAAAAATAGAGACCAGATAAAGCATCCAAAAGTAGTTAAAAAAAAAAATTTAGTAGTATTCTTTCCAAACATAAAGCTGACAACATAATCAAAACATTTCCTCAGGAAGCTGCGTGAGCATCACACTCCCTTCATAAAAAGGATGACATGTTTTTACCCTCAAACAACGGCTGTTTGAATCTCTTCAAAGGTAAAACTGTCCTAGTTGGACTAAACTGGAATATTAGAAAGGAATTGAGCTCCAAGGGTATCAGTGTGATATTGGCTAAACCATCCTGTTATGCGAATGAAGCTTATTTAGTTGGCAAAATTAGAGGGACAAGCAAAATGAGCTCAGAAAACACTATTCAAACGAAAGAGCCCATGACAGCTCCATCTATCGTCAATCCTTTTCAGCACTGTATAGATAGGGAAATCAGAATTGTTTCAATGTCAGTTTATCGTTAAACAGAGAAACTTGTTTCGCTCAAGTTCAACATGACAACCATCAAACAGATCCACATATAAAGCAGACCAAATAGACCAATTACGATATCCAAAGATCATAATAGCAATGAATGAATACTGATGGTTCATGCAAAAAGTATTCTTTCCATCTTCCTCCTTAAAAGGCTTTATTTAAGTGAAGCCGACAACCACATATGGAATAGTCTTAACCATCAGAGACAGTCTAGGACAGTGACACTGATGCTGACTCATGGCGGAGATGACTCATTGCAGAAGGGTAAGAGCAGAGGGAAAATAACTCAAGCACTCAATGAGGCTCCAGAGTTCTTCCTGCACTCTGCTAGCATGTCCATGTAGAATTGGCACTTGCTAATGTCATTACCGTAGCTGTTCAGGCACTGCAAGAAAATAATCACACATCTCTAATGTCAGCAAATGTAGATGAAATAATTAATCAACAGCAGGAACAATAAGATTCAAACATGTTTGGCTTAAAAATAGATTGTGAAGCCAATGAAATAATCACACTAGTCCAGTTATTCAGTAAAACAAACTGAAACGTGAAAGATATATGATATACTTGGTGACGCCATACTGGTGCGGTCACATGAAATTCATGCAAAGCATGGAAAGCACAATCATGCAACAAACATTTGAAACGCATCTGACATAAGGAACTGTTAAAGACTAAGAACCTTTCACAAAGATCTCGCATGTCTCGTAGAATGTTAATCAGATAGTTATTATTTTCTGTTGCTTAAGATATTTCAATACTAATGGACATATCAAAGCATATAGCATTCGAAACATTAAAAGAATGGGTGAATTTGAGAGAAATCCATCCTGTAAAGAGTTATTCACTTGCGCAAGTTAAGGTTTGATTTATAGGTCATAACTCAGATAGCCAGAACAGGAAAGAAATGCATACATCTTGGAAGGCCTTTGTGTGAACACCACAGGCATCGCTACCAAGACTATTTGCTGTTGGTGCAGGGGCTGCAGCGGCACCCTCACAGACAACTGTTTCATGTTGAATAGTTCGGGGACCCATCACGGCATCCACAGCCCTGTGCGCTACTGCACTGCCAGTTCCAAAAGCCATGCCTACAACAATTTTTCCCATCCATTAAGCACAAAGAAATACGTTTTCACAGGTCTCATCCCATACGTTAAAATGAAATAATCATATTCACTAACGTACCCTGAGCAATGGTTGAACCAATGCCACCAAGCAGAGAGCCACCACTGCCACTCTGAGCGGGAGCTGGGGGAGGAGCATGGTGAGCTGCAGTAAGACATAACCAAGGTTAGACAAAAATTAAACCACATAAGTTTCTGGCTGAGTAATATTAATACCATGTCACAACGAAACTCTTTAGAAGGCTCATTAGACCTTCATCATTATTTAGATTTAAGAACAGCTTAACTTTGTTGTCAAAACAGTTAATCTTTTCGGAACGTACATTAGAAGCATGGTGCACAGCTTAACTTTGTGAACTAAAACCGAAAAAAATTTGACATTTTAACCATTTATTGCATCATATTCTTATTTACCTGGCTGAGGTGGGAGATTACGAGCCGCTGCTGGACGAGGTGCTGAGCGAGAAGATCTTCCTGCAACGATAATCATATCACAAAGGATCACACAGCTAAACTATGACCTCTCCGCGCAATATACACAAATTATTGATTAGTTAGTTCAGTCATTCAGAAGCTTGTAACCAAGGCAAAATAAATAAATAATCATAATATAATAGCAGCAAACGCTTGGATGACAGAGGACCTAGCTTACATTTCAAATGTTTCCTCAAACGAAATGTTCTACGAAAACATAGCCTCTTGCAACATCACAGAAAGCAGAGTTGAAACCATAATAACCACAAATGACACTAAAAGAAATGTTCCAAGAAAACACTGCCGTTTGCAACATCACAGACCGCAGAGTTGAAACCATAATAAACACAAAAGACAAAGTCAGGATAAAAATCCGATTAGGGTCAAAGTATTCTCAATAAAGGGGCAACCTAAGCTTTTGCCAGCACCCCATAAAAATCTTGCTTAAATAATCATCGACTTACGCAACACGCATCACCAGAAATGAGAGAGCATATGCATCACTGTATTAAAATTAATGGGTTAAAGAAAAATACCTCCCTGGAAACAGTAAACGATTTCCCATTTTTCGGAAAAGACGGAACTAACGCTTCAGCAAAAGCATAAACGTCTAGAGTTCATCAACAACAAAACCTTTCAAGTGAAAAACGTCGAACCCTAAAAATCTCAAATTTCTTCGATAACGAAACAGGAAAATTGAAAAATCCCTAGATATCATCGAAGAGCTAATCCTATAGATTCCCAATAGACGAATGTCCAGAAGATGAACACGAAACATAAATCGATTAGAGGACAGCCAGTTACCACTGGAGCTGCGGCGAGGCATGGTTAGAGATATGCGGTTGAGGCGGCGGAAGAGCAGATTGACAGACAGAAATCTGAGAAGGAACCACGGAATATGCTGCTGCAGAAATACACACCAACAAACGCTTGGAACGGAAAATTTATAGCCAGCCCCACAATAAAATTATGAGTTGCGGAGTCGAGATTTTAGGGCCCAAAAACGTGTTCCAGAACAATTCAGACCGTGTTTCTGGCCCAAAAAAAAAAAAACAATTCAGACCGTGTTAACGTGTAAGTATATGATTGGTTGATATTAGTCAATGACGTGGTCAATTTTCAGTTTATGATAAGAAAAATAAAAACTTAGAAATAATTTTAAAGTTAATTTTTGGAGAAAAATGGCCTATTTTCCTAGAAAATTTAAGAAAAAAATACTTAGAGGTTTATATTTAAGCTACACATTTTAGGATAATTATTGTACGAGGTAAAGAAGTTATTTGAGACATAAAATCTTTAAAATGAGCTAAGGATTAATTTCTAAAATTAAGGTCTATTTTATTGAAAAATTTAGGAAAAATAGTTAGGAGTTGATTTTTGACTCAAAATTTTTATAAAAATTATTTTATAGGTCAAAGAAGTTAATGGAGAAGAAAAATCCACACGAAAAATTATAGAAAAATTTCTGGATTTATTCCTGGATTTCAGAAAATTTGAGAAAGGATGAAAGTGAAAACAAGTAAAACATAGAAGGGCAAATTGGTACTTTCGACACGCATACCTTAATTTTTTTTCGAATGAAAGGGGGAATATTATTGCAAATCAATCTAAGTACAAAGTAGAAGTATCAAAATAGAACACCGCTAGGAAAAGAGAGGACAAAAGTTAACATCTTCAAGTTATCCTTGGCACTGAGTAATAAATAAGAGCATAATACTGGAAATAAGGAACACCTATGACCTGCATATAGGAACCATTAAGTGTGGGGTCATGAACGGTATGCAGTAGCGACCACATGCATACCTTAATATCCTGCCATCACGCCTTCTTCCTCTTCATTTTCCCATCTGAAACTCTGAAAAACAGAGAGAGAATCGAGAGAAAACATGAGAGACCAAGAGGAAGAGGGTGACCGGAGGAAGCTTATCGGAGGAGGATCTCTTACATGCAACACTTGATTCTGACTGAGGTGACTCCCTCGCACCTTCTTCCACCTTCATTTTCTTCGATTGGTGGCCGTACGAGGAATTGATGATGATAATAAATTTGGCTCTAGTGAGAGAAAGTCATGGAACAAGTGAAATAATCCTAGAAGAGGGTAGATTAAAGTTTGTGTAGATGAAATGTGGAGTTGCATGTTGATTTTGTTGTTGGATGTTGCTCTTCTTCTCTGGTTCTTAGTGTCCGAAACAGGGGTTAATGGCTTAGGGAAATGGCTCTGGTTTAATGAGAAAATGAAGAGAAAGTTTGGGTGTGCAGTGCTGGGGATTTAAATTGATATATATAGACACACACACTTGGGGAAGTGTTTGGTTAGTTGGGTGTTTGTTTTGCTTGATTTTCTCTGGTTTGGGGCCTTCGAAACGGAGGTGATTAAAATCTATCTGTCAAAGGAAGATGACTTGGTTTATGAAGTATTCAAATAATGAGTTTGTTGTTGATCTGTGTTCCATTTTGTTCTTGATAATGGCTTTGGGTTTTATGGAATTAGAAAGAGAAGAATGAAGTATTGTATATAAATATATACATGTCATGAGTGTGTACTATTGAATCTAGGATTATTGCATAGGGGAGGTAGTCCGTTGAATTCAAGGAGAAAAAAAAACGGTTGAACCAAGTGGATGTATATTTGTTGGCGTGCGGGCTGATTATGTTTTCAGTTTCAGTGCCTTATTATATATTAAGATGGACAGAATTTTTTGGGTCTGAAAATGGAAAAGTGATGCCAAAATCTGGGATTTTAATAAGACAAGAAATTGTTGAATTTGGTGGGAACCAAAAATCTGATTGGAGTCTATTGTTTTGTGTTCTCAAATGCTGAATATCTAGGATAAATGATTAAGTCATACTTGGAGATACTAAACTGATAATCTGTGTGTTATTATCGAAGCTAGGAAATTTAAAAAAAAAAAAAGAAAAGAAAAGAAAAGAAGAAGAAGAAGAAGAGAAGCTTATCGAGAGCCGTCCAAATTTGAGGGTACAAGGACATCTAGAAGTGTATGACTAGTAATAATGTAGAATTGGCATAAGGAAGGAATATTAAGGATGCTAAATTTAAATTTGGGAACACATAATTATAAATCAGGAAAATATTTCCAGATTAAGTATGTGATAGCTCAAAGCAATATCAAATATTTAGGAAAGTGTCAACTGGTTGTAATATTGCTGAAAATTTACGTAGACTCAGATAGAGGCTTTTAAATGAAGATTAATTGATTCTTGATGAGGAACTCATTCGTCAAAACTTGGAATCTTAAGCAAGTATTTAAAACTGTTGGAATATGCACTGTTAAGACATTGTTTTAATCTCTTTTTCTGGAGAATAAGCTTGAGGTTAATGGTGAGTGACTAAAGGTCCTTCTATGGTGCTATCTAACTTGAGGATACTAGAATGATTATTTGACCACAATTCTCAAATCTGAGAATAATTCTAGAACCAAAAGATCGAGTTGCCCAGAATGTTGAGGATAATTGAAGAATGATTAATTCAAGTTGAACATACATGTGTGAATCGGGCAAGCTTGTCAAGTAATAGTTGAATTGATTAATTTAAATCAAAAGGTAAAATTAAATTTCATTGAACTAAGTCTAAATAATTAGAGTTAAATACACATATGTCTCTCGGCCAAAGCTTGCTAGTAATGGCAAAACTTATTAATCAATAGTTGGAGTTTGATTAGTTTGGATTCAAATGCTTGAGAATAAATGTCCAAGGGTCATTAAGATTAAACTTACTTGATTAAAAATCAAGTAATTGGGCTTGTAAACATATACATGTATGCATGTATTGAGTGCGAGTGGTTAAGTATTGTAAAGTGATTTGTGGACATTGATATATAAATATATATATTTACTTTTATTTTCCATGACGACCAATCACTTCATAAAAGTGAAATCGGCATAATGAATGGGACACAACAATTATCCTTAAATGTAATAGTTAAATTAATATTTTTTACTAGAGATGATCAATCATTAAGTAAGGCTAGAGAATAAAGAAATTGGGAATTAAAGAAAGTTGTTCAATTTCATGGACTGTAGTTGGATCAAATGGTAACCTACCCTTACATATGTGATAGGTTTGAACATTTGCATAAACCCACCAAGGACACAGCATAAAAGAAGGAAATCAGGTTTGATTTGGGAGCAGGGAGACCCAAGTAGTAGTTTTTTCCTATCTTACACTTGTATATGATTATTGTATGTCTGTTTGTACCATATTGCTATTTTAAAGCATGAGAACATGCAACCTTAATTCTTTGCATGAATTATTTAGCTATGGTCACATGTAGTTGATAGACATAGTGCAGTATCTACCAATTATTTATGCATTATTTATTTAACTTGTCTATATGTCATTGTGTATAAATGTTTAATTGTATTAGTTTGTAAGGTTTTATTTCACATTGGCTTGTTTTGCGTGTTTTATATACTCTGCACATTGGTTTGATGGAAATTACTACTATGGATATTCTTTAGAATCTCACCCTCATTTTCATGACATGGAGCAAAGGCAAATAGCTCGATGAGAAAGAAAATTGTATAAGAAAAGGTTGGTCTAGTTAAAGGGCAGGGATACCTACTATATTTTGTATATATATAATAAAATATTTTGATAAGTTAATATTTATATATGTTATGTGGGCAAGTAACTAGTACTTGCTTTATGTAAATATTATTTTGTATCCTCTATAAAGAGGAGAGCACTGCTGGGCATAGGTAAATGTCGTTGACCGAGATGGTTACTATATTTTAACATAATATTATGAGATTTCACAATTTGAAATCCTTGTAGGTGTTATTAATATAAGTTGGAGGCAAAATCTGCTATGAATCACTTGTCAGATAATCTGAAAGTTCGAGTTATTTAATTAATGAATTCCAATGTATTTACAGGTTCAATTCCTAGATTGGAATTTTATTTTCAAATGATTTATGTTTTGAAACGATAAAAAAAACTTATCCCATTTTTCCACGTCAGAAACCTAGCGTTTAGTAATTCACAGACATTAAAATGACCCTATTAACATATAGAAAGTCAGGTGTTATAATGACACTTGAATATTGAAATCCTTATTTAATCACCTAAATCATGAAAATTTTTTTTGGGCACACATTATTAATTGAGATTTTGAAATTTGCTGAAAAGACCTAATTGTCCTTTATTTAAAAGAAAAATATCAAGCACCCTCACTAGCCAGGCGATCATCGAAGCCCTGATAACAGTGGCGGTTGCCGAAGTTTAAGTGATTGCTAACTGGCCAATAACCGGTCGTCGAAGTTCTGAAGGCCAGCAACATTTTTTTGAGGATTTGTTTTAAGTCGAGTAATGTGATTAACAAGTTCTTTAAAGTTATTAATAAGTTAAATATAACAATTAATAACAGGTTTTTCAAGAAATTCAAAAAGTAGTATTTTTATAATTTCACTAATGCGATTAACAAGTCATGTAACTATATTAACAACTCTCATAACAACAATAACCATGTGATTTGAGAGCTTTTTGCACTTAAAAAGATTAGTCATGGTATCATAAATAGGGAATTTTTCAAGTCTTTTAACGAGATTAATAAGTTTTTTAGTGTTATTAACAAGTTCGGTATAACAATTAATAATAAATTTTTCAGAAAATTCTAAAAGTGTTATTTTTACAATTTTAGTAATATGATTAGCAAGTTATGTAACGATGTTAATAACTCTAATAATGCTATTAACAAAATTTTCTACTCAAAATTGATGTTTTTAATATTAGCTCCCTATAAAGATCATACAACAAATTTTTCCCGTTTATTAAGCAATCATTATAGTTATGAGAGTTATTAATATTATTACATGACTTGTTATGAGAGTTGTTTGT